CAGGGAAAGGGATGAGAGCGGAGAAGGAAAGGAACTTGGCTTGTTATCAAGTGATTGTGGCAGTAAACGGCTCTATCTACTGTACTGTTGAACAGAAATGCTCAGCTTCCCTGCTTTTATCTGCACAGTGTCAGTTTGTGGCTTTTGCATTTTGGGAAGAGTTGGCCAGACAATCACCAGATGTGCCTTGGGCAAGCTGTGCTGTCCCACCTGACACCTGACCCTTGGGTTCTTCAGCCTGAAACAAAACCCATTCTTTCATCGAATGTTTTTACCTCTTGTCAGGGCCACCGGCAGCTGGCCAAATGCAAAATTCCTCCTCGTCCTTCCCAAGAAATAAGGCAATCTGGGGGAAGAATGCAAGGACAAACGGTCGCAAAACCTGTCTGATGTCCAGGATGGCATTTGATTTCACTGATGAAGACTAGCACTCTCCCTCTTTCCCCATAGACCTGCTCCCGGTCCTTCCTGCTTGGTTTAATCTGGAGATCAGGGTACTGCTTTGCCTAGTGAAAGGGAATGTTTGTGCAGAAGAAGTAAACATATTGTTGAGACCCAGGCCTGCTGCAATGCCTGTAAACAAGATCCAGCCGTCTGTGGGAGGCAGAAGAGAGATTTATGTGACCCTGAGTTAAGTGCATTAGGAGGCTTTTGATTTCATTCTGGGAAACTGCCCCTTTTCGTGGTGCCATATGCCTGTTACCGGCATAGAGCCGTTGCCGAAGATTTGATTCGTGTGGATTTAATCCGAGGGGCTGTGATGCTGCAATCAGAAGGATTACATAAAACAGGGGGGTTGACTCTGCAAGCCGGAGCCCGAGGTGCTCTGCGGAGCCCCCGAGCCCTTTGCCCACCCCAGAGGCGGGAGTCCAGGCTGATGCACTCCTGCCTTGGGGCAAGGCAGTGAAGAGCTCTCTGCCTATCAGCGCTTTCTTTCCAAAAATAATAACAAAGTGAAGTGGCAGCGGGGGATCCAGGCGGCACTGTGTCGAGGTCTTGCCTAAGTCTTGAAAGAGGAAATGAAGAACAAAGGAAGAAGAGACAAATAAATAAGGGTCTGTTCTTATCCAAGAAAAATTCCCATGGGTACGTGTAACGTTCTCGGGAAGACGTGACACTCCCAGGGCTGGAGTTAGTTTTTTGAGAAATAAAAAGAAAGGGGAAAGAGGCAAAAGGAGGAGGAGAAGGGGGGGTGTCGGGGATGGGGAGGAGAGAAGGAGGGAGAGACACCCTGGAGAAACCTCTCAGCATGGAGTCAGGTTTCTCCGGCTGTTCCCGGTGAAGAGGGGTTAATGCTCTTTGCATGGGATTGGCTGGTCACCAGACATTCAGAGAAGAGGGGGATCCGGGGGCTGCCAAACGGGACCCCTGTGGCCTGAAAGGAGGGGAGGAGGGGGAAGGAAGAGGCTGGGAAGGCTCTTCCAAACAGTAATAGATCGGCTACTGTGGGAAAGTGAGTGCTCTGCCAAACCCCAAGTGGTTGGTGATGGATGGGGGAGGAAGGAGGGCGGGGATGGAGGGCCAGCTCTTCTCCATGGCCACTAGGATCTTGCTGCTGTTCCATGGCCTTGCTTTACTTATTGTCTTCCTGGGGTTTAATTACTCCCCTCCTCGATCCGATCCGTCTTGGAGAGCTTTTATCCCGGGGATGCACAAACAACTGCCACCCGCTTCAAAAATAGCTGGAGGCAACGTGGTTTCTGCCTGTCTGTGTGCTCTGCCCATCACCATGGCATCAAGCACTTCTTGCCTCTTTCCTCCTTTAACTGCCTCATGCCTGGCCCACGGGGCACCCACCTCACCTTCTTCTGGGCTGTTCCACCTGCATCTCCCTCTTGCTTGGGCTGTCACCTGGTCCCCAGAAGCTCTTCTGCTTTCCTTTGCACAGTGTTTATTGTGCATGGTCTGCTTTTCACCCATGGGCCCTCAGCTCTGAGGGAAATCTTGATGGCCCATTTTGGTGCTCCTCTCAGGATTCGTGCCTTCTGCTCTGCTTGCTTGGTGTACATGGACTGTCTGCCAGAGTCTGCTTTGAAAGCAGTTACCTTCTGCTGCTTCTTCCAGATCCCTCCTTGAGATGTGCTTCTTCCTTGATGCTGCTGGGAGGAGTTAGCGAGCTTGTGGCATTTGAACAGTGCTTAAAGTTCTGTAATTTTGAGTGTTTGAGGATGTATCTACACAATCCACAGCTTTGGTGAGAAGTAAACTGGTGAAATAAATTAGAAAGCTTCTGCTGGTCAGCTGCTTGTTCCCATGCCTAGGCACTTTTCTTGAAGTTTATTTTTAACCCAGTTAGATTTGCTGCTGGCTTGGCTTTACAAAGCAGACCTTCATACGATTGACAACTTGAATTCATACAACCGAGGGGTGGTGAGCTGTGAAGGTGGTGAGTGAGGGGAGAGAACCTAGGAAACAACAGCCTGTGTTAACCACACGCCTCACTTGAGGTCTCCGAAATCGTCATTTTCTTTTTTCCTCAGACAAAATGGTTTTGTCCTGTTCCTCTCTGCAAGACACCGGGACTAGCTGGGAGTTCTCACATACTTCTCCGATTACCCCATGGCCTGTCTGAGGACATAAGTTGCTTTTTTTTTTTGTGTAGTTTTGTCCCTTTTTTCCTTTCCTGTTCCTTGTCTCGTGATGGAACGTTCCTTCCCTGTAAGACACCAAAGTCAGGGAGCAAAAGAACTAGCCAGCTCCACTTCGCACGGCTCTAACCCTTGCACACTTGAGGAGCAGCAGTACTGTATTTAGCTGGGAGAAGGGCTTTGCATCCTTGGTATGTGTGTACTGCAGAGTGCAACGAGCAGTGCCTCAGCTCACCCTCTGATGTCCTGAGAGACCCGATCTTGGAGCCAAGTGGTGATGCAATCTCCAGGGCCAGTTTTCGTGGAACAGAACAGTTTTCATGGAACCAGATGTTTTGAGGAGGCAGTAAGCAGGGTTGAGGAAGAGTTCCTCCAGGATATCAGGCATAAGTGAAGGAGAGAAGAGGATAGGAGAAGTGCCACCTGTCCTCTGGCGGAAAGAATGCTTAGACTAGTGGTGCTGAGAAACTAAAACTGGCTTCTGAGAGCGTCTGAAGGATCAGAGTGTGCTGAGGCATCTCTGGATCCATGAGAATTTGGTGAGACTGGCTATATCTGGAGAGAGGACATTAGTTACAAGGGAGCCCAGTACAGCTTAAGGATACTGAGAAGAATATTTGATAGATTCCAGTGGAGTTGGAAATTCAGCTTGAAGTTTTCTTTAGCATGCAGTACTGTGCTCTTGTGATGTCCAAGTACTTCCTGGATAAAATTAAATTGGTGTCTCATAGGCCATTATTGGATTTCAGTAGACTTTTCTAGTCTTCTCTGAGCAGATCTTCTTTTAAGCCGGGGGCTGGAGAATTATATAATTATACTGCTATTAGTATTATGGCAGTTATAGCAAGAACAATCTGTTCGAGTGGAGGGTTTTATAATGGACTCTGAAGGTGTTCAGATGCTGGTCTATTCTGCTGACTTCTTGAAGATCAACCTTGAGCCAAAATCCTGTCTACAAAGATAACTTTATCTCCAGGTCCCATGTGCTCTGTAGGGAAGGTTAAGAACCCCTGTGTCCCAGAGTGTACAGCTATCTCGCTGTCCTTGGAGTTGTGGCATCTAAAATAACCAAGGAGTGGGACGAGACACTTGAGAGAATACTTGAAGAAGTGAAAGCCCATGGAAAGCGTGAAATCCAAAGGTGCTGTGCTTCCAGGAGTTGAAGAGGTGAGCAACCACAGTACTTCAAGCTGGAGGCTTTGCATTGCATCTGTCTTGACTTCTGTAAGCAGCAGATTGTCGCTACTGGCATAGAACACTTTGGTTTCCTAAAAAAGCATATAGGAGAAGACATCTGTTTTCTTTTTGACCACAGATACTTCAGGTCAGTTGAGGTCTAGCAAGGCATTGCACACAATACTGAGGTTTGTGGTTGATACGATATATATCATGTATATATCATATATATCCCTTCAGTGGGAAGGTGAAGGCATCATCTTGGTTTCTCAGCAGTGCTCTCACCCTTCCCTGGCCAGCCTCACCTTAGCCTTGCATAGATTCACCCTTTAGCTGTCTTATTTTATTTTCCTCCATCCAGTTTTCTTCCTGGCTTGATGACACCCATTAGTGGTATGTGGATGGCAGCTCTGGAAGTCAAATGGATGCTATGGTGGCACCCTGTTAAAAGAGTGGTCACCTTATATCTCTGCTCACCTCCCTGTTGAAAGGGAGGGAAGGTGCTTAGGAGCAAGCCTGGCTCTCCTTAAGCCTGACCTTATTTGGAGAGTAACTGCTGGATGGCTTGCTCCAGCTGGTTGCACTGGTAGTAACTCAGTCGCACCTTGTGGTCACTTGCCTCGAAGCTGCAAAGGAAACACGTAGCATGAGGTATTGCTGTTTTGCATTAGTGCTGTAGGCAGCAGCTCTTGACGAAGGTCATGGAAGAATGTTGTGTCTTCTGTCCTTGAAACTTGAACAGAAGCCGACATGGACCTGCTTGCATTCAAACCACCTTGTACTGTGACTCTGCCAGAACCTGCTGACATCCTCCTAGCTCACCGTCCCTGAAAACACCATGGCATCCTTCATGTGAGAGAAACGCTGAGCCCTAGCTACCTTCTGGTACATCCTGCTTTTCTCCACTTTCCCTGCTGTCCAGCTTTGTAGGATAATCTTCTCTAGTTCTATCCTTAAGCAAAGCACAGTCCTGCTGTCCCTGAGCTAGTCCCACTTCAGTGGTAGACAAATAGTAGGATTTATGGTTTCTCCTTACTTTTGTGGATGCTTGCAGGACAAAAGTAACTTGGGGTCTTGGAGTGTTTTGAGGTACTGTGACCCCGATGTGTGTTGTGATGCCTGTGCCCTGTGGATGGCAGGTAGACTCGTACTTCAGAGGTGTGGAGCCTGTTCATTTGTCTCTAGCTGGAGCAGAGAGAGAGAATTTGGCCCTCAGTGTGGAGTGGGGGATGGAAGTCATGTTGGATTTTAATCTGCTGCGTGAAAGCAATTCTAATTTGAATTGTTGCCTTGTGGGGAAGTGTCTTGAGTGATGGGCAAATATGTTACTGCATGGGTGTTATGGGATAACTTTAGGCAGAGGAGATGAGCGTCTCTGTATTGGGGGAAAAACAGAAGCTTCTGACTTGTCCTCCTCAGCAGCTTTTCTCCTGTAACCACAGGAGAGGTCTGTGGAGTCTTGAGTCCCGTGCCCTAACGGGACGGAATGCAGGATACCGTGCATCCAGTGGCCTGTTGCATGGCCTCTTGCCAGCCTCCTCCAGAAGAGAACATTAGGACTGGTGAATTGCCAGCTCTTAGCAGTGCATATCTTTCTCTCTGGCTCCTTGAAAATCAGGATATGATTTCAGGATGGTATAAATCAACTGGTCACTTGATATAATGGCAAAGTAAAACGGTAACAGGTGCCTGGGGATAACTCAGATGGATACCACTTCTAGCTTTCCTCCTCTGAAAGCCCTTCCCCTGCATGGCAGAGACATAACTTCTTCAAGCAAGGAAGTATCAAAGGGATTCCTTACAAAAAGGAGCTTTCAGCTTCTCTTGCTGAGTCTGAATGTTGCTGAAGTGGTTTATAACTGCATGTTCCCTAAAGAGCTTTGTCTTAATGGAGCCGAATGTCCATGCTTCTTCTGGCTTTTTCTTCTACTTGAACATTAAAGCTTTTCCCTTGCTGTTGTTTTTAACCTGACAGCAACTTGATCACTCTCCCTGAGATCAAGTTGACTTTTTTCCCCCTCCTAACTCAAAATTGTCAAAAGGGAAATATCTCTTCTTGCTGTTTTCTGTGTTCCTGGTAACTGATGGCTGCTTTGTGACAGAGCAGCTGGGCTCTTTTATGACAAGCTGAGATGTGTCCCTGACTGGTACCTCCTTTCTCATTTCCACCACACGTAAATGTTCTGGATGGGGAAGGTGGGTAATAACATCTCCCTCCCCTGCTGGCCTTTGTCTCCAATTAGCTACCACTCGAAAGACACATCTTTCACTGCAGCACTGATCAGAGGATATGGGAAGGGATATGTGATGCTTTTTAGCATCTCTGCCCACCCAAGGGTGCATGAGCTCTCTCTGCTCCCCAGCAGAGGAATCCCTGGCATGTGAGAACGAAGGTGATTCCCAGGGAAGAGGTTTTGGAAGAGGACACAGCTTGGTGCTTTGCTTTCCTCCCTTTTAGGAGGGGATAGGAAATGGGTCCGTGTTCCCACTCCCTAACCAAGGTGACTGAGAGGTGAAACTTGGCTCCTGGGACATATCAGCAGCAAAACAGCAGAGGGTACTGCAGGGCCAGCTTGCTTTGGCAGAGCTGCAGGGAGGGCTGTGTGCCCCAGCCCGGCTCTCCCAGGCGCAGGCAGCAGTAACAGGCTGGTCAGCGGGTGAAGAGCTGCAGAGCCCTTGGCTGAACCTGACTCATACTGATGTATGCAAATGTCAAGCAGGGAAAATACGCTTTACTTCCCAGAACCGTGTGCCCTGCTGTGTTGACACGGCACACCACATCCCAGAAAGCGAAGCAGTTTGTTGAATGTCAAGAGTTACGACCTTTTGTCTGGGAATCTACTGTGGCATGTGGAGCATCACAGCCATCTGGGAAGAAGATGGAGATGTGCCTTATGTGACTCCTCCAGCACCTGTCCTGGGCTGGCCCAGAGGAAGCTGGCTGCCTTGCATTTGTGTGTCCTGTAGGAACTGGAGTGAAACCAGCAGTACCTGGCAGCCATTGGCATTGCCTTATAGAGTGGGCTAGTTGTTGATCTCACCCAGGTTTCAGCATCTGAGAGAGCAACCTGATGTCTGGAGGTAACACTTTGGAGAAAGCATAGGACACCTGACTGGAGAAAGCTGTACTAATTTACCAGTGAGGGACACGTTTTCCTGTCAGCCAGTTGCTGCTAATTTAGTGTTTTCAGCTTCCTCATGCCTTTCTCTTCCCCATACTTCAAGACAGAGCAAAAACTGATGATGTGTAAGGAAAAGGCACTGAATACTCCTCTACCTTGCAAGTAAGCTCACTGCTCCAGCAAGATATTAATGGAACCTTAAATGAACTAAAATAAACAAAACCTGGACTCAAAATGCTTCTCAGGGACCTCTTGTTTTGCCCCTATGAAGAAAGCTTGACAGCGAGCCCCAGGATGGTCCTCTGTGGCTTTGAACAAGAGAGCATCCAGCACCTTCATGGCTGGGCCACCACACAGATGGTCTCCCACCAGCCGGGCCATGACCAGCCATGTGAGACCAGGCTGTGAGGCTGTGGCAGGTGGGTGCAGGAGGCAAGGGACAGCCCCAGTGTGGTCCCATGAAGAGAGCTGCCATTTCCTTCTTCCTTAATTTTTTTTTTTTTTCCACTCTCGTGGCAATGCTGTAACTCTTCCACCAGCTTCAGGCTTGCAGTCCGCCCCTTCAGAGCTTGATGTGGGACTCCTCACCCTGCCACCTGAGCATGAGGGATGGCGTTGGTGGTTCTCACTAAAAAGGTGACCACGAGGTGCCCAGAAACGCTTGTTGCTGAGCTGTAAGGTGTAACCTTGGACAACCAGCTGCTCTACCAGAGTCCGTATCGGAGCCATCTGTAGAGCGCCAGATATGTTTTCCTTTGGGCAGTTGCCATCTGTCTAAATGCTTTATGGCTTTTCACTTTAGTATTAGATACCCTCCAAGTTAATCAGTAAACGTGCTTTGCTGTGTTTTACTTAATACCCTCTGAAGCAGTGGGAGCGGGCTGGGTGCTTCTTCCCTCTGCTCCCACACGGGGTACACGTGTTGGCCATGAGGAGCCCCATGGCAGGGGAGTGGGACAGCCCCTGTGTGGGTGCTGGTGGCATGGAGCGGCTCCCCCGTGTCCCCCAAGGAGGTGGGACTACTCCTGCGAAGGCGTCTCCAGCAGCATTGCGCGCTGGGTTGGAGGGTTTATAGCTGATGGCATGGGGTGTGTGGTGCCTCTCGGGAACTTTGGCCCTGGGAGGAGGAAGGTGCCGGGGCAAAGAGCTGCCGTGGTGCAGCGTGGTGTGGAGGGGCCACAGCGGTGGGTGTGCGGATCTCAGAGGGGTTCTCTACCTCTTTGCATGGAGGGTCTCATGCCCTGGGGAGAAGAGGACAGCCTCTGGGTTACAAAGGGCTTTTGGGTGACCTTGTTCCCTTGCCCACCTTCGCCCCAACCTTCCCTTCCCTAAACAGCAGAAGGCGAGCACCTCTTCTCCTTTTCCTTGGCGAAGCATTGGGTGAGCTTATTTCTTTCTCTCTTTTTTTTTTTGGTCCTTTTTCTGGATTGTAGTCTTCAATCACTTCTCTGCCTGACAGCAGCTCTGTGCTCCCTGCCTGGGCTGGAGGAGGGGAGGTGGCACAGGGAGAGGATGAAGACAGTATTTCATGTTGTGTGGAGGGAAGGGCTCTGCACCACTGGCTTCTTGCTGGCCTGACACAGATCCAACATGATGGCACAGTATTACCAGTGGAGACAGCTAGGCATTTATTTTAGCCACCTTGATCCAGATGCAAAAAAACCTTCAGCATCTGGTACACAGAAAAAAAAAAGCAAAGGGCAGTATTTGGAGATACAGCGGACTTGAGAAGCACGGGAGAAGAGTAAAAGTGACAGCACCTTAATTGCTGTCACTTTTACTCTTAATAAAACCTTAATTGTTTTATTTTTTCCTGTTCCCCATGTGAACTTGAGTAGCATTTCCTAAGAGCAAGGGTGTTTTTAAGGTGTGTGTTGAGCAAACACTGAAAAGATCTGGGGAGCGTTAGGTGTTTTCCTGATTCTGGCAGCCTGGCTAGTGATCTCCGTCCTTTAAAACTGCCTTTTACGCTGGTCATGTTTCAACCGTGTACTCCCTACTCTTGCCTCATCCCGCCTGCTCTCTGCACTCTCTTCATCTTCTCCCAAGCCTCTGGTGATGCAGGGCCAGAGGAGGTTTACGTTCATTTTGTTTCCAGCAATGGATAGGGACAAATCTGCCAAGCGCGGTGAGTTCACTAGATCATGAATTCCTGTTACTCTGAATTTCCTGTCTTTCTACCCTGTCGCCACTGCCTTTCTTATCTCTGAGTTTATAAGGCTGTGACTGATCTAGACGAGGTTCAGCTTGGTGTAACCCAGCTGAGGCAAAAAGCCCGCTGAAGACAGCAGGGGGTGGAGGGAGTAGTTCTTGGGTTCAAGTCTCGAAAGGTGCGTGCTGAGTTTGGACCAGCTTTCTGCCATCCCCAACCTGTCTTTCTACCACTCAATAGAAACTTTTTGCACCTCGGTAACTATTGAATGTGACTTTCCTTTTCATGGCTTTTCCACAGGATGAAGATGAGACGCCATAAGCTCTTTCTGACTCTCTGCATGGCTGGTCTCTGCCTCATCTCCTTCTTGCACTTCCTCAAGGCCCTTTCCTATGTCACCTTCCCCCGGGAGCTGGCTTCGCTTAGTCCCAACCTCGTCTCCAGCTTCTTCTGGAACAATGCCCCCGTCACACCTCAGGTCAGCCCTGAGCCGGGGGGCGCTGAGTTCCTCCGCACCCCCCTCTACTCCCACTCCCCCTTGCTCCAGCCCCTGCCTCCCAGCAGAGCCAGCGAAGAGCTGCACAAGGTGGAGTTTGTGCTGCCGGAAGACACAACGGAATATTTTGTCCGTACCAAAGCTGGTGGCGTTTGCTTTAAACCAGGCACCAAGGTGTTGGAGAAACCACCCGTGGGAGGGCGGCCTGAGGAGCGGTCAGATGGGGCGGCGTCGGGGCGGCCGGCTCGCAAGCCACTGAGCGCCACCGGGACCAAGCGGCGCAAGTGGGTGGAGTGCGTGTGCTTGCCGGGCTGGCACGGCCCCAGCTGCGGGGTCCCCACCGTGGTCCAGTACTCCAACCTGCCCACCAAGGACCGCCTGGTGCCGCGGGAGGTCCCCCGGCGGGTCATCAACGCTATCAACGTCAACCATGAGTTTGACCTGCTGGATGTCCGCTTCCACGAGCTGGGAGACGTGGTGGACGCCTTCGTGGTGTGCGAGTCGAACTTCACGGCCTATGGAGAGCCGCGGCCCCTCAAGTTCCGCGAGATGCTCCTCAATGGCTCCTTCGACTACATCCGCCACAAACTGCTCTACGTCTTCCTGGACCACTTCCCCCCCGGTGGCCGCCAGGATGGCTGGATCGCTGACGATTACCTGCGCACCTTTCTCACCCGGGACGGCGTCTCTCGCCTCCGCAACCTGCGCCCGGACGACGTCTTCATCATTGATGATGCCGATGAGATCCCGGCCCGCGATGGCGTGCTCTTCCTCAAGCTCTACGACGGCTGGACGGAGCCCTTCGCCTTTCACATGCGCAAGTCGCTCTACGGCTTCTTCTGGAAGCAACCAGGCACCTTGGAGGTGGTCTCGGGCTGCACCATGGGGATGCTCCAGGCTGTTTATGCTACTGACGGGATCCGTCTGCGGCGCCGCGAGTACTACACCATGCCTGGCTTCCGGCAGTATGAGAACAGCACGGGACACATCCTGGTGCAGTGGTCACTGGGCAGCCCCCTCCACTTTGCTGGCTGGCACTGTTCCTGGTGTTTCACCCCAGAGGGGATCTACTTCAAACTGGTGTCGGCCCAGAACGGGGACTTCCCCCGCTGGGGTGACTATGAGGATAAACGAGACCTCAATTATATCCGGGAGCTGATCCGGACTGGTGGCTGGTTTGATGGTACAACGCAGGAGTATCCCCCTGCCGACCCCAAGGAGCAGATGTATGCTCCCAAGTACCTGCTCAAGAACTACCAGCGGTTCCGCTACTTGTTGGAGAACCCCTACCGAAAAGTGGAGGGCACTGGTTGAGGCCACCGGGGCTCATGTGGGAAATCAGGACTTCACAACAAAAGGAAAGAGTCGGATGTTTTCATCTGTTCCTTTCTTTTTTTTGTTTTGTTTGGTTCTGGGTGGGGTGTGCCATTTCTCCGGGGTCTCTGCCCTCCCTCCCTTCCTTCTCTTCTTCTCTTCATCCCAAGGTGACCCTGGGGATGTGAATTCCTCAGTCGTGTGAAGAGCAGGAGGAGGAGAGATGTTGGGGACCTCCTCTGGAAGTAGCATAAAGACTTTCCTGCATCTCCCAGACCTCTCCCGCTGGCTGGAGAGAATCTCTGCAGTCAGCTGGCGGATTTTCCTCCGGGGGAGGTTGGGAGGGTCCCACGGGGAAAGAGGGCAGCTGTTCCCATCCACCCTCATCCTCTGTGGATCGGAGCAAGCACAGATGCGAGCCTGGGCTATTCAGTGAGCGTGTGAGTCAGCAGGCACAAACTGATGTTGAGTGGTCACGTGTGCAGATGTGTGTCACAGGCATTTTTTGGATGAGTGAATGTGCAAAAGCATCTCAGTATGCGTTTGTTGGTTTTTTTTTTTTATACCTCTATATTTGAAGAGTATTTTGGGGAAGGGAAATCCGTTGCTTCCAAGTTTTTTTTTTCCCCAAGATGCGTCCTCCTCCCGCAGGCTTAATGCATCTGTCCAGGGCTGTGTCTTGGCCTGATGCTCTACCAGTCCTGGAGCAGGCAGATGGGAAGCGGAGGAGAAAGCTGACCTTTTTTTTTTTTTTTAATTATTATTTTTATTTTATTTTTAAGTCCTTTGTCACCCCTGCCCCCACAACACTGCACTGGCTTGGCCCACAGAAGCTGAAGCATCTTCCCTGCAGTACGTGCTTCTGTTGGGGCTGGGATGAGCTGCAGGGACTTAATCAGATGATGGGAGTGTATGTTTACAAGTGCATGGTTTCCTATGTGCATGAGTGCTAACATGCATGGGTTTGGTATGCACGTGGGGGTTCGTTGCCAGTACTGGGGGGGAAGGGGACATAGGCGGGTTTGGGTGTGCGTGCTTTCAGGAAATGGTGGGATCCAGAAGCTGTGACCTTCGTCTCAGCATGGATGACTTTTTTGGGGAATTCAGGGGGCCAGGGAGAGCATTGGCTCTGCATAGCAGTGCTATATGTGTGGGACTGTTGTGTGCCTCTCTGGCTGCCTCTGCAACCCTGCAAGCTGTGCCTGATGTGGGGCTCCTGCTTGTATGTGCTGGCTATTTCTCCTTGCTGTAGGGTAAAAGGGAGAGGAGAAGGGCAAAGCTCTGAGTCAGCAACGGGTATTGTGGGGAAACACAAAGCCTGTGAAGGCACAGGATCCATCCATCTGCCCTTAAGGTGTGAAGGAGCTTGTGAAGAAATGGGCCATGGGCAGACTGTTTTGGGAGCATCGTGCAATCCAGAGAACATGTATAACCTGGGCCATGCAGGCAAGACCATGCAGAGGAGAGGGGATGTAGGAGGACACTACTTGCAGCTGGTTGGGCCAGTGTCTGCTCAGAGTTGCCAGTGGTGGGTAGTCAGGATCTGGCCTGTCACTGTATTGGATTGATTCAGCTCATTGAGGAGGCAGATCCACATCTCCACCCTTACCACCCTTCCTTAGCAGATGGCTTGACGGGGTGCCCAGAGCCTGGTCTGTAGCGGGCAGAGGGTGAAAAACATGATATACTCACTCTTCTAGCCTTGCAGTGGAACAACTGGCTCATGTTCCAAGCCCAGAAGTGAGGATCATATATAGGAGGAGGAAAATGCTGGCATAAAGAAGAGTGACCCTGACATCAGGCCAGCTGTGCTGAAGCAGCAGTGGGGGTTCCATTGCCATTAACTCACTCCATCAGGGTCCATATTCCTGTGTTGTCCAGCTCATTCCTGCCCTTGTGCCTCATTCCTATCTCTGCATCTTTCTCTTTTCCCCTCCTACTCCCCTCTCTAGAGAAGTGAAAAACACCAACAAAAATAACTTGATTGCCTAAGAAGACTGAGACTGGAACAGAATGAAGATGAACACCTTTTCCTGATCAAACTGAGATGGAGTTCATCTTGGCTCCTTCCACATCTCATGTGCCATATTGCCTGCTTAGAAGAACTGAAGGACCCTCTTTTTTGTTGTTGTTGTCGTCTTTGTTTTTTAAATTACTGTTCCCACTTTTTCTGTATCTTCCCCACAGGTAGAAAAACCCCTTTGGGAACTGAGTGGAAGGAGAAACTTTGGTAGGCAGGATGCTCTTCCTCCCAAAGGGAAGTCGTGGTCCTTGTGGCTCTCTCAAGTCCAGACATGTTGATGCAGCAGGAGGGAGTCTTCTCACAGTCATGGGGTCCCTGTGCCAAGTGCCTATGTGAAGGTCTTGGGCATAGAGAGAATATAGAGAGATGGGGACCCAGCTGAGAAAGAAGGAGCCTGTGTTGAGCAAGGTGAGAGCTGTAGCACTGAGGCAGCAGCATGAGGGGATGTGCTTTCCCCAGAGGCAGCTGGAGGAGAGCAGGTATGTTAGGTTGTGGAGTTCAGCAGCAGAAAAGTATGGAAAGAAGAAGCTATTTCTCGTTTTCACTCTTGGAAGGGAGCCCGAGATCTGCTCTCAGACCTTTGGCTTTGCCTTATCTTAGTGACAACACCATGAACCCAGTGCCAGGCTTTGCTGCAGATAAGGGAGAAAGAGAAGCCAGTCTTTGCATGGGTGCTTTGGTAACACCAGAGCCCCATGGAAGCAAGGGCTAAAGTGCGTGCATGCTGGGGCTGCACCTCGTTATCTTCTATAGTGGGAGCAGCCTGTCCTCTGATGCGGGTTCTTCTGGTACATGGGTGTCCTTGGGGATTTTTTAGTGCACTGCAAGTCAAGTTTTCATCACTGAGGTATGGCCTTTGTATCTCGGGGTTTTCAGTTAAACCCACAGCAGTAATATCTGGATGTCCTATTCCTGAAGCACAGCCTGTTGCCTTCTCTCCCATTTCTTCCATTATTTGCTCCATCATTCTCCACCTCCTCTTCCATACTGCCTCTCTCTTCTGTCTCCTTGGGTGAGAGGAGAAGGTCCTGCTGTAACAGCAGTGCTGGAGCTCTTCTGCAGGACTCTGGCCCTGTCCTCCTACTGGACTTAATCACTTCCTTATTCTTAGGAAATTAAATTTAAAACACTTCTGTTGTGGTGGGAGGAAGGGGCTTTACAGAGTAAATGCATTCTCTTTTTTTTTTTTTTTTTTTTTTCTGTTTCTCAAGAATCATTTAAACATTTTTTGATTTAAGGCCAAAACAGTCCATGTTT